GATTCCAATTTTAACATGTAAATTTTCTAGAAAAGCGTGGAAACGTTATTTTATAGAGCACATGGAGCGTTTTCCGTTACGATCGAAGTTAACTCGAAAGTTATATCGACGCGATGAATAATTCATAATGGAATTAGACAGGTTAAGTCAGACAGTTTGGCTGGTCGGATGGTGATTAATCATTTAACGAATTAATTATTTAACGAAATCAGTCATTCTAGCCCTTGTCTGCTTATATATTCAACCGTTGCTTGTCTCCTTGCATTCTAATCATCACTGAATAAATTTTACGGTTTTAATATATAATAGTTATATTAAGATAATTATATAAGGTACATAGATAAGTATTCTAAATCTTTCTAAATGATTAGGATTTCATCGTATTAAGTCATTTTATAAGTAATATCTATTTAAAGAAAATAATTTTAGTAAAAATATATAATATTATAGCAAAATCTTTATTATCCAAATTATAATAATATATTACTTACCGAATTTTATCAATCTAAATTATGCATTATCTCTATTCGCAATAACAAACAAAATTGTAAACAAACACTTATCACAATAATAAAAATAGAATTAAATTTACAATTCTTATATTCTAGTTATATTTTATATATTTATATATTCATAATAGAATATTTTAAAAATAAGAGAGGTTAACTGTAAGTTGATTGAAGTAATTTCAAACAATTTGTATACGATATATTGAAAATTAACTATGTATGTTAATAATTGAAATGAAATCGTAATACTTAAGTGAAATTGCTACAAAATTAGTAAATAAATTGTCAATATGAAAAAGTTTTGAATAGGTGAATACTCGATACTCGAATCAGAATTGTTCAATTTGGATCGAATCGGATTCTCGAAAATATCGAAACTTACGAGATACATGAATATCGGAATTTTCAACATCTCTTTATTTAACTTTCACTCAGTTTCTAAATACTTCAAATTTATGATTGAATTCAATAAAATTCGGTTTGATATATGATTCGGATCTCTCGAAATCTCATTTATGCGTCATGAGATACTTCGGAGAAGCCCGATTCGATCCGATCTAACCCGAACAATTTCGACCTCGACCCGATTTGAAAATATTATGTTTTAATAATCTTAATATAAATCCATTAGGTATTTTAATCCATTAAACACCAAGCAATGACAATAATATATTATTGGAAAATATATGCAGAATAAATCGTATATTGTTATATCAAGATACAAAAATATATTTAAATTAATTAAAAATAATTTTTGTTCGTGCATTTTGCAATTAGATGAAAAAAAGAATTGTTATATAAAACATGTTAAACACATACATGAAAATTTATAATTGATATTAAAAAATTTCAAAATTAATATTAATTATTAATAATATTATAATATACGATAACATTAATAAGATATAAATTTAAATTTATATGTGGAATTACATCTATTTTTAGTTAATTAATTTTAACAAAAAATTATGTGAACCATTTTATTGAATATTTAATTGAAAAAAATTTCATTGTTAAGAAATTAAATCTTGTAAAATGCTTGTACAAGAAGATTAATTTTAAGAAACTGATCAATTTCTTTTGATTATAACTGTAAAAATGAAAAAAGGTATCTAAAAATGTCGAGAATAGAAACGCTTGAGGCAATCCTATTTCACGTTGAATTCTCTTTGAGGAAGACGAAATACTTCCGATTGAAAAATTATATTGCAAAGGCTACAAAAAAATAAGCCAATTGAAAAATGAGTTAACGAAAGAGAAAAGTTTTATTTGAAGATATTCGAAAATTGGAATGAAAAAATTAAAATTGAATAATTATTTTAAAAATTATTTTAAAAATATTATTTTTAAAAATTTAATCTTTTTTTTTTAATCTTTAAGATTTTACAAAAGATAGAAGTTATGAAAGATAGAAGTTTCTAAAATTAATTTTTACATAATTTAATTAATTTTTTTTAATAATGCTTTAGAAAGAAATTTTTTAAATTTTTTCATTTTCTTTTAAGCATGTATTTAAATATATTTTCTGAATCTCTAATTATCT